TCGGGGAGTGGGTAGTCATTTGGATGGACAACAGTGACAGACGTAAAGCAGGGAATCTGAGGTATATCACGGACGGTGTCGTTATATACCGGCTCATAAATAAAAGCACGGGTATTGGCCTGTTCAAGCCGGCCTTGGATGACACTGTAGTCGGCATTTGGAAATATATTGATGAGCAGGGGAATGTATCCAGCTCGGGAAATTGCGTATACGTGTACGACGTCGATATACTTATAGCCTCTGAAACTGGAGGCGGTGGATTACAGGGTCAGCTCAACATGTTTGGACGGCAATTCGTAATGTTCTGCATCAAACTTACCATAAAGCAATCACAGACCTCTGAGGTATACCACTACTTTCTTTCAAAACATGAAACCAATATCGAGCAAGGAACTCAATATCAAGAAGGAGTTGGTGGAAAGTGATGCCCGTCCAATGATTAATCTCGTCGGTTTCGGGGTTGACTTGGGGAATCTTGAATGCAACCCTAGAGGGGAAACGAGTTACGAGAGGTTGCATCTTCAATGGTGGTTAGGTGGGGTCTGCGTCTTGATTTCGGTAACGAAGAGTGTCACTCTGTTATTCTTCTTTTTTTTTTCGCTCTAAAGCCTTCTAAAGCGAAGAGTGACTCTAGTGTGACACTCTGCTGTCATATTCCTGTGTTCCTCCAAAGCGACGAGTGATTCAATTTCGCTGGGTGATACTAAAATTTATTAAGCACCAAAACGCCTGTACTCCAGGTGCGGTAGCCGGCATGGGCAAGGTTCAAATAAAATTAAAAATCTAAAGACCAGATGAATGTGAGAGGATAAATGTACGTACCTACTGTACGATGTCACACCAGTCCGGTGGTAAGTAAGTACCTACATATACAGTAGGTACATACATTTCTCCTCTCGCATTCATCTGGTCTTTAGATTTTTAATTTAATTTGAACCTTGGCCATGCCGCCTACCGCAGGACACAGTAATATGACAGTAGAGTGTCACACTAGAGTCGCTCTTCGCTTTAGAAGGCTTTAGAGCGAAAACAAAGACGAATCACAGAGTGACACTCTTCGTTACCGAAATCAAGACGCAGACCTGGTGGTTTATAAACCCATCATTTGGGTGGCGAAAGTATCACTTTATCATGTCTCCACTCCTGACCCACCTAACCAACATCGAAGATGCGACCTCTCGTTTCCCCTCTAGGGCTGCATTCAAGATTCCCCAAGTCAACCCCGAGACCGACGAGATTGATCATTGGACGGACATCACTTTCCGCCAACTCCTTCTTGATATTGAGCTCCTTGCTCGATACTGGTTTCATGTTTTGAAAGAAAGTAGTGGTATACCTCAGAGGTCTGTGATTGCTTTATGGTAAGTTTGATGCAGTGCATTACCAAACTGTTGAGCTGACTCTGTAATGCACTGCTTCCAGTCTCGGAGGCTACAAGTATCTCGACATCGTACATTTATACGCAATTTCCCGAGCTGGATACATTCCCCTGCTCATCAATATATTTCCAAATGCCGACTACAGTGTCATCCAAGGTCCGCTTGAACAGGCCAATACCCGTGCTTTTATTTATGAGCCGGTATATAACGATACCGTCCGTCATATACCTCAGATCCCCTGCTTTACTTCTGTCACTGTTGTCCATCCGAATAGCTATCCACTCCCCGATCTACCTCATGTCACAGGATCTGACATCGCAATCATTTACCAGACCAGTGGGACCACCTCTGGAAAGTCCAAGATTGTTCCCTTCAACTACACCTGGCTGGATTGTAATGTTCGTAAAATAACCAAAGCTCTCACGGATTCTGGAAAGGTAGATATCGGAAGCTGGCGGTAAGGCTCTTACTAGCATCATAGCATTTCTCAACTAACAAAATGACACTGTCGGCAGAGGGAGCATCGGTTATATGGCTCAATTTATAGGCACGTTTCCAAGTTCTTCTATTCATTTTCTTGAAATGTATTGACTTTAATTCCATTGTTGCAGGTCTAATCAGAGCAATCTACCACACATCCTGCATGGTCCAATATAAATCTGGCCAACCCTCCACCTCCGAATTGGTAGATATCATTAACAGATGCAAGACGAGGCGGCTCTTCTCGTATCCGCATTTTCTTCGAGAACACCTTCGTGCCTCACGTACGGACCCAGAGACTTTGCGTGCCCTCTCCTCAGTGGATGCAATTATGTACACAGGAGGTGGCTTAGCGGGTGACGAGGAAGAATGGGCTTGGAAAAATGGTATAAATCTTGTGGTAAGCTTTCTTTACTCTTCCTTCGAACTTGATTAATTTTATATAGAATACCTATGGATCAACTGAATGCGGCGGACTACTCATATCAGAGGGACTTCGGAAATCTCGCCAAAATTACCTTAAACGGTTCCCAGGTCCCTCTTTCATCAAGTTCATCCTATCTCAAACGATTCCGATCTACTGGAACTAGTTGTTCCCCCAGAAGCACCCGAATGCCCTGATGTTTCATTTAGATCATCTGACGGTTAGTGTCTCTTACAGTTTACTGCTGATATATTGAATTCGAGTTGTACTAATTCCTGAGATCCCTAGGTAACTATCACACCAATGACCTTTTCCGCGAAGTGGAACCCGGAAGCTACGTCTTTTGCGGTCGCAATGATGATTGGTTTGTTATGCACAATTGCAGTTTGTGTGATACCAAGTAGGTTCATCGATTCAATACTGTCAGAGCTTTTCATATTTGTCTCCCTAGAGCCATTGAAGATAATGCTCGAAATCTTTGTGGTGACATCATCTCAGACTGTGTGGTAGTGGGTAATGGTCGTCCATCACCAGTATTGGTTGTGGAGGCTTGCAGCGTCAACCCTGCCCTCAATGAGTCTGAACTGAAAACCGAAATCTACCGCCGGATTTGCCCTTTCCACACCGCTCGCTATCCCCACGAACGTATCGCTTTGCCGGAAATGATATTTGTCGTACCTTTGGGCACTTTACCACGAACAGTGACAAAAGCGACGGTGAGGAGGAAGGTTATAGAAGACACGATGAAGGAGAAGTTGGACCAGTTATTTTCGGGAAACGTGTAAACTGTACCCCGTCTCACGACAACTAAAGCTCTCTCTCTACGAGTTTTGATGTTGTGAAGGGGTGCCGCCCCAGGGCGCATGGGTACCCTATCGAGTAGCAGAGCTCTAGAGGGAGTAGGTTAGTAGCATGGTACGGGTTATGAAGGAGGGGTTCTGATGGGTTATAAGTAATGTAGGAGACTCACGGCTTTGAAGTTAACCTTGGCTATGTTTCCGCCGCCAGCGGTCCCTGCAGCAGCAGCTTTGCCTGTGGCTCCTGCAGCGGCGGTTCTGTTAGTACAAGTTCCATCGGTAGCAGTGGTGTTGGCAGTGGTGGTGGAATCAGTCGTCTGGTAGTGGTAGTAGTGGCAATAGCAGCAATATCTAGAGATGAGTTAAAGGATAGATAAATATATAAGGGTTCCGAAAAGATCAAGTAGTTCTGTACCATTTCTAGCAGTGGTTGAAGCAGCGGCGGCAGTTCCTACACAGCATGAATCGCCAATGCGTAAGCTGTCGAGCTTCATACATATTACTGGTGTTCCCAAACGTGCCTTTACCCCATGAGTCCTGGTCCTATACCGTTGCACAGGGCCAAATTAATACTGATATCTGGGACAGAAGATCACCAATGAACGTACCATTTGCAAAATTTATGAATGCATAGTGATCGGTTTATCATTTTCATCAGTCGGAAATTCTGCATCTGGAACTGGGTTCATGTCAATAATATGCTACCGTCCCCTCTCGGTCAACCGGCCAGCATGGAAGCGGAGCATCAAGCTCAACAACACGATCACAGTAAGTCTGACGCGTAATTTTGGTACGATTAGATTGCTTGGAACTTTTTGCCTTCTTTGGTTTCGGTTGCACCTGCACAATTTGAACCTCATTATCAGAGGAGTCGGTTGTTGGCTTTGGGGCGCCATGCTTGCGCTTGCGCCTGGCGGCTGGCCCAGGTGCATTCATTTTCACTTTCACAGGTAAGCTAGGCGCGAGAGAACCAAGACATTCTATATCTGAATCATCAGTTTCAACCTTCACTGATGCTTTAGGCAGGCCGGTGATGGGTGGGCTAGGAGGAATGGATGGTCTACCAAGGCTAGAGGAGCTGGGAGTGGAAGTGTAAGAAGAGGTACTAGTTGGTGTTGGATGAACCACAGAATTAGGTGCGCCCAAAGCAACATGTTCTTGAGAAAGGACTTGTTGAAGGTACCAGGCTCTGACCTTATCTAGATTATCACACTCAAGTGGTGCATTCAAAGGACACAAGTGAGGGTAGAGGTGAAGAAGTGCCGGAGAGCATACCTGTAGTAAATCTAAAGTTAGTTGATAGTAAGTAGATGGCAGATAGCATCAAAGACAACATACTGATAACCTATAATCCTCCAGAGTTTTGTTTCAATGATATCAGAATATACATTAAACAATAGCTATTTGGACGCGTTGATCACATTTCTTTCCCCTACATGATATGTGGAACAATGAGGGCGGGAGGGGCGGCGGCGAAGCTCAAAAGCGCCAAGCGCCAGAAGCACACGTGACCTCGTGAGGTGACTTTTACTTAGTTACTTCACTTCTACTTCTACTACTTATGCATACTCCCTTCTCAAGTATGTCCCTAGTGGTATATCGGTAGCTCCACGCGGCTGTCATGGCCCAAGGCCCAATATGGCTTTTGAAGAAAGCTGGGTTTGATTCCTGGCCAGGGATATGTGCCTGTTTTACTAGTTTCAATTTTTTTTTGTTCAATTCTACCCTAATACCCTATGTCCATCCTTGCCCATCCATCATCCTTGAGCTTGAGCACCTTGTGACGTATATTGCCCAAAGGCTAGTAGCACTCATAGTATATTAACATATTAGTACAGCAAATCACATCTATGAGCTTTAACCATCATATAGATAAGTCCAGCTCACTTTCGAAGAATGAAGAAATGCTCTACTAACATGTCCCTGGTAGTATATCGGTTAGTACACGCGCCTGTCATTGTCCTGGTTGATTGCTAGTTAGCGCGCGAAAGCTGGGTTCGACTCCCAGCCAGGGAGTGGACGACAACGTTACAGATGATGTTTTTTCTTTCATTCGTGCCTTATTGCCTAACTAGTATTTTATACCACAAATAAAACACTGTAAAGCACATCTAACTCTGACAAACAAACCAACTAAAAGATATCTATATACTTACATTACTTATTAGCGACTTTTCTTCATGCGCTCACTACCTGAGCCGCGCTCTCCATCTCTATCACCCTCCCTTCGACCTTCTTCTCCCAAGCATCGGCATCGGCACTCGGTATCTGCGGAGCAGGCGATCCGACAACCGTAGCGGGGGTAGGGCTGAGCGAATCATCTTCAAGATATTCCGTTGCATTTGTGTGTGCGTGGTCAACGTTTTCAGCAGTCGCCATGCTATCGGATTCGACATGCGCATGAGTCGGGGAAGGAGGTTCTGAAGAGGGAGCGTCGAGTTCGGGAACGATCTCGTTCGTACGTGTACCGTCTGGCGCAATACCGCAAGTCCTGGTAGACCGTCACGTAAGCCGGTGATAGCACCATAGCAGTAATACCACTCACTCTATGAGTTGGTTCCAGTAACTCTCATGATCAAATTCGTACTCGTATTCCCCACCGAACTCGGCTTCTAACTGTGACGCCGGTATCAGCTCAAGTAAGTCCGGGTTGAACCGCATCTGGGACGGAAGATATAAGTGAGTTTTCCATTGCTCGAGAACGAGAGTGAGGAGAACAGGAAGGCGACGTTACCTTGTCTCTTGTTACGGGGTCTAAGAACGGAGAAATGCCTTTGTAGAAAAAGCTTAGGAGGAGAGGAAGATTGGTGACGATCGCTCGGCCGAGTGTTTCGACGTAGTGATGTTGTAGAATTGTCAATACCTATTTCCATGGCGGGTGAGGACGGGCAAATGACGGGTGAGTTGGATAAAAATTGAATTAAACGCGTGTCAGAACAGATAGTCAACAGAATAACGCACTTTGCTTGCCACCGACACGGACGGATTGGTCCGAAGTGTAGTGGTCTTGTAATCGACGATAATCACGAGAGATTCCTGTCCGGGAGGCATGAGGTCTTTTGCGCGCTCTCTGTTCGGGGGCACAAAAGTCAGAACTCGCGTATCCGAAATACAAAACATGAAAGACGTACAGACACCAAACGAGATGCCGCAGCTGTCTGGGACTAGTCTCCGTGTTCTGCCTCCCGGGACGCATGTAGATTATTGGTCGGCCATCTTTGTCGAAGCCGTTGATCAAGCTAGTGAAGAAAACACGAACAAATCAGTAACTAGGGCTCAGCGTACCAAGCCCATCCATGACTCACATCTTCCCTGACTCATCCTCAATTTTCACCTCCTCCGGCACAATTAACTCGGGCTGAAACTCCCGCCGCCATTCCATCGTTCCTTTCATCCGTTTCTTCGCGTCGTTCAGAACCCATTTGGAGGCGCGCGAGTAGCGAGGAATGGTATCCGCCTTCCGAAGCCAGCGTTGTTCCCATTTGGCGTAGGGATGGGAAGGAGGAAGGGATATCGAGTGCGCGTACTGCAGAACGGTGAGTAGGTTTTCAATCTCGATGAAACACGAGTTTTGCAATTGACTCACCTCTGTAACCAGCCTCATCAACTCCAGTTGCTTCTCGTCATACTCGTAAATCGGGCCAACCTTCGTCCCAGGCGCGGGCGTCGTCTGAATTTTCGTCGTGCTGGGCTTTGGAGAAGCACTGCGGACTGAGCTAGGGGATTTCGTGGATGACGACGTCTTCGTTGTCCCTGCGGTATTCGGTGTATCTGGTGTGCTTGCACTGTGGCTCTCTTTGTCTTTTTTATACGAGCCGAAAAAGAAGCTGGACATTGTGCGCGGCGCGGCGGGATACCGGTGAGATGAAGACCAGGATGTCGATATTGGATGGTAGAGATTCTGGGAGATATGAAGCAAAGCAAAAAGTTGAAATAGAAAAGGGAAAGAGAATGAACCGAAAAAGTCCGAAATCATGATCGAGGTAACGAAATTCGCGCGCTTGTTTAGGCGCTTGGCACGACAAACTACATCTTAGATCTCACTCAGCCTTCTGTCCTTGTAGCATGAGAGCACGCTCCAGATAAGCGAAAGTAATATCGAGGAATAAAGCATGCGTACCTGAAAATTCGCACTAGCGGAATCCAAAAATGACGATTCCTAGACCGTCGTGCGTCGACGTTCTAGTAGTATATATTATTTGACTACAACTGGGAACCCAGTCTAGTAGGTATCGAGTCCATCAAAATCAGGGTTTCTCAATAGTTTTTATAGTCGAATGTAAATAGATGTAACCAAGTTTCGGGGAAATAAGTAAAAAGTTTATTTATGACTAGCAACGCATCTTTAATTCCAATGCGGGGAATCGAACCCCGGGCTGCTGTGCAAACGCAGGTATTCCCACATGAAAGACAGCAATGTTAGCCACTACACCACATTGGAAGTGTTAGTCCAAAGTGATCCTTAATCTTGATCAAGGGAGAAGGGCCTCTCTCCTTCCGGACGAGCACCCACATCCCTGCAGACACGTACGTGTGAGTTGTGGCGTAATCGTTCTGCTCAAAACCTCCTCTTGGGCTCTCGTGAACACTTTCTAGTATGGCTGAATATCTGGTGCGTATCCTCCGTTTGGCATCCGTTATCCATATTCCATGTCCAAGCCTGAATAAATTACGCCCAGCCGCTGAACGCAGTCTCTTCTATTGTCCTTGTCTCCGGGGACATCGGCGAGAAATGGAAAGGCCCCGCTATTCCAGTCGTACTCCAGCGCAGTAAACCTCCGCCTCCAGACACGCTTAATGATATACACGCAATAGCCGACAATCTCACGTTCTCCATATCATACCCCGATCCTCTTTTCAAACTCCCGCCACCTGGAAACCTCGCACTGCACGTCTCGTTGGGAAAGATCCTCTCAGAAGGCCGAGGCCGAGCAGGAATAATCTTTGATTGCGAATGCTCGATTCCGTATGGCAATGACTCCAATTATCAGATCCCTCCGTTGGTTGTGAAGCTTGCTCGCGGTCTTCATTCTCCTGATTTGACGAAGGAGGCAGCTGCATACGAGACCATGCTTTGTTTGCAGGGATCTGCTATCCCACGATGCTATGGCTTCTTTCAGGCGCGGTGTGTTGAACCGAGTCCTTTTCCTTCATCCAATTACTGACATACCTGGTTCTCCGCAAAGGCTACTAGACTACTTTGATTTTGGCCCGATGTCCATCCTTCTTCTTGAGAAAATTGGTGATCGACTGGTGCTCGGAGACCCACTACCAGATGGTGCCGAGTATGTTTCATTCGATCCTCCGGCATTGCCAATGGCTTGAACATCTACTATTTAGATCTGATCTTTTCGACATCTGTTTGCGATTTTGCAAACCTACGAATATATCATGATGATCTTCGTTGGGCAAATATGCTTTCGGTGCTCGGCCCAGACCAAGGTGGCCTCCCAAACCTTCCCTCACCATTCAGTGGAAAAACGTATTCTTGGAGGTTGATTGACTTTGATCGAATTTCAAGATCAGCAACCCATAGCTTCATTTCGGTCAGGGGATATTATTACGGCTACCTGCACAGGGTTATAGACAATGTTCCTCACGGAACCATCGTAGAGCCTTGGGAATGACACATACTAGTAAGTAATACTGCAACCTTGCTGCAACCTAGTGTTTCTTCATTCATTCCAGTTCTATTAGTAGCTAAATACATCTCCCAGGTAATAAGTATATTGGTTAGTAGACCGCTGTAGACCGTTACACGCACAATACATGCACCGGTATTAAACTTTGGGGTTGGGTTAGATTGCATGCTAGCTAGCAGGGATACTGTTTGTTGATGTGGCCACACGTTCCGAGGAGCTTTTGCCCGTTATTTTCCTTGCAGTACTTTGTTCTTTTAACTGTTGATAGCATATCATTTATTCAATCTCGCCCACCGCCATAGGATATTAGTACCGGAAGACCATGTATGCGTAAACGGATTCCCCCACTGTTCTTCTCTCAAGAGTCAAAATCTCTCTTGACAGCGTCAATCCAACCAAAAAGCAAAAACTCAAAAAACTCAGGTCCATACAAAGCAGCATAGGTACTCCCTGTGTGAGAGTGTAACCCAGCTTTCGCGCACAAGAATGATGTATATACCAGATAATATGACATTATATGGGCTTCAACCCGAACGAATCAACTCAAGCACATCCAAGTATATGCATCACGAACAAGTCACCTTCATGTGCTCACTATCTGAGGCATAGTCTCTCTCTTCTTCACCCAATCATCAATCGTCGGCATGGGCACTGGGTATCTGAGGTGGTCCAACAACCAGGACTGAGCGAGTTTTCTTCTTCAAATTCCTCCCTTCCATCTGTCTGTGTGTGCTCGGCCTTTTTGGCAGCCGCCGTGGCGTCAGGTTCAACATGTACAAGAAAGAAGATTCTAAAGAGGGAGTGTCGAGTTCGGGAACAATCTCATCTGAAAATGTACCGTCTGATGCGGAAGTCGGTCAAGCGTTGCGTAAGTAATACGAGAGATAAAAAACGTCGGTTTTATGACCGTAATAGTAATACCGTTCGCTCGATAATCTGGTTCCGATGACTTTCGATGACTTTGGTGACTCGGCTTCTAGAGGAGGTATCAACTAGAACAAATCGGGGTTAAACTTCAGAAAAGTTGATGAATGATGTGAGCGAGGGAGTGGTTTTTTCGATGCTTGAGAACAAGATGGACTCAGGAGAATAGAGGAAAAGAACGAAGATGTTGGCTTATCTGTTGTGACAGGTCTAGGAACGGAGAGGTACCTAGAACAAGCTTAGGACGAGAGGGAGCAGGTTGGTGAATTGCCCAGCCGAGAGTTTCGACATACTTAGTGGTGTTGGTGAGTTGTAAGGACCTATACTGTTACAACATGACGGAGAAATGACAGATGAGATGAATAGCACAAATCAGAATAGGACAATGTACTTTGCATACTCAAGTACTCAGCGTTTAACGTTTGGCGTTCACCAAACCAAATTATCACTCGCATCTTCCCCGACTCATCCTCAATCTTCGCCTCTTCTTGCACAGTTAACTCGGGCTGAAACTCCCGCCTACATTCCACTGTCCCCTGGATCCTTTTCTTCGATTACATTTGGAGGTGCGCGCGCAGCGAGGGATGGTATCCGCCTTTCGAAGCCAGCGTTGTTCCCATTTGGCGTAGGGATGGGAAGGGGGAAGAGATATTGAGAGGGCGTACTGGAGAAAGGTGAGCAGGTTGTGGAGGGAAAGAAGAAGTTAGCCACGTTCTCGTTCTCGATGAGACACGGCTTTTGCATTTGACTCACCTCTCTAACCAGCCTTGTCATTACTACCTTTCATCATACTCGTAAATCGGCCCAACCTTCGTCCAGCGGGCAGCCGCCGCGATGCGTCGTCTGGATGTTTGTCGGGCTGGGCTTTGAAGAAGCACGGCGTACTGAGCCAAGGCTTTTCGTGGACGATGACGTCTTCGTTGTCCCTGCAGTATTCGGGTGTTGGCGTTATGGCTCTCTTTGTCTTTTTTGAAAAAGAAGCTGGGCATTGTGCGCGTCGCAGCGGGATATGGTTGAGATGTAGGGCGAGATGTATCGATAGAGAATCTGGCTGACTTGATGCAACGTAAAAGGTTGGAATGGATGAAGATTAAGAAAGGAAAGAACCGAAAAAGTCCGAAATCATGATCGAAGTAACGAAACTCGCGCGCTTGTTTGAGCGCTTGATGCGAAACTCCATGAAGTTCTAGGTCTGTGCCTGTCTGTGCCTACGGATGAACTCACCGTAGGCTGAGAGCACGTTCCATTTATGCTCGAGGAAGCGAAGCACCTGGAGCTGAATTTGGGTACAAATTTGTACTGGCGGAATCCAAAATGACCCTTCCCGGACCAGCGTGCGTCGACGTCCTAGTAGTGCGAATGAACTACATATGGATTCGATGGTTACAACTTGCATCCAGATTTTGGTTTCAAGGAAAGAAACAAAAACACAAGTCAGATTCGCTGAGGCAGAATTCGAATGCGGGGAATCGAACCCCGGGCTGCTGTGTCGTCACACGTACACGTTATGAAAGATAGCAATGTTAGCTACTACACCACATTGGAAGTGTTAGCAGAGAGTGCTAGTTGATCAACGGAGAAGGGCCCCTCTCCTTCCAAACCAACCCCTCGCACATCATGCATTATGCCCGATTCCCTCCCTTTGAGATTGCTCGGCCCCGATCTAATTCTGCAGTTCTCGTCCCCTTTCCAACAAAAACTTTCGTGCAAGGTAAAGAGATCGTACTATGTCTATAGGGAATCCAAAGTCCTGTATCCTGTGTTCAGCGTGCAGAGTTCCAGAATTGCGGCTGGCGTTTCCTATGCATATTTCCTTTCGAAAAATGCAGGAGGAAAGGAATCGATTGCGACTCCCCTATCTCCTGAGGTGACTATGGCAGCTGGGCGACTGCAATACATATCTAAAATGTAAGTAAGTCTCCAGTAAAGGAAACAAAAAACTGCATCTCATTGTAGAAGGTAAAATTTCCAAATTGGGGAATCGAACGCCCAGGCTGTCTAGATCAAGAAAGACAGCACTGATATCCACTACACCACATCGGACTTGGTAGGACCCATTGAATATTGAACTTGAACTAAAGTCGGGGGATTTATATCCCAGGAGTGGCCACCGGCTAAACGCAGGCATCCGGTTTGGAAGCTCCCATTGTGTTTGTTCTCAGTACTTCCGATGTGTACACATTTCGACCACTTGTCGACCACCCCTTCCCTTTGCGATGTCTCTCCCGGGCGCCGATAGATACATCCTGAATCTACAGTTTCTGTGTCCTTTTCAACAAAAACTTGTGTACAAAGTAAAGAAATCGTCTGTACCATAAATAATTGAAAGTCCCATGTCTCAGCCATACGAACAGAGGTAGAATCTCAGCCAGCATTTCAGAAACTGTCAAGTACTACGCGTCTACTTTCTTCCTTCAACTTGAAACGGGTGTTGAAATGCGGGAGAAAAAATCGATGTCGAAGCATTCAAAATTTCAATTAATGCTGAGACTCATCGAGATATCGATCCCCGGGCTACTGTGAATACCATAAAGCCTAGAGGACATTGTAGAAAGACAGTAGAGCACATCGTAGAAAGACAACATAGCCACCAAACCATACTTAGTAGATTTGCTATAGGTCGAGTCTTGATTGGTACCGTGAACCTGAAGTTGGGATGGGTTGGCGGGCTGGCTAAATACATATTGATTCTTGATTTTGCGTCGGTTGTCCTTCATATATCCAGAGCGGTACGAACTTTTCAGTTTGCGTCGAAGAGGTGACCCGGGCGGAAAAAAAATGCGTTCACCATAATTGCGACATTTCCAATGTGGAGAATCGAACTCCGGGCTTAAGTAGTGGTGGTTTTAGCCACTACACCTCATTGGAATCGTTA